GTAGTCAGACGCGTTATCCGTTGCGCCACAGGACCACATCAAAGGTCAATTTTTTCATGTACTTACATTGAAATCATAAATATATATATAAATTTATGAAGAAAAATTTACCTGCAGATTTTAAAACTAACTTATAAAAAGAATCTTGTGAGATTTATTATTAAATTTGGATGGTGCATCTCCCACTACTGCTTATTCAACAATGCTCATCAAGTTCCTATAGTTCCTAAATTTTTAATAATCAAATGCTGCATTCATCGAGATACTTCTAAAAGAATGATTAAGAAAATCATATCGTCTACATCGTTTTAATATCAAGCAATATATATCAAAACTTAATTTATCTACTTTATCTAAATAGTAATGATGCATCTAATCTATCAAAAAATATCTTTTGATAGATTAGATTTATCATTACTTTTTAGATAAATTTATAATCTTAATTTACAATCAAAATGACACGGAACATTTACCGGATGCTTATCTCCCTATAATTAATTTTTTTCCTCCTCTATAATTGTATTTCCCTTTCCTTTACTAATTCCTTTATTCCCTCCATTTCACCATATCTTCCCCTCCATACTTCTTGTTCTTCCTACTTCTTGTTCTTCCTCTCCCCTTCTCCTTTTTATCATCACACGGAATTTCTTTACTTAATTTTGATCATTAAGATCTCAACTATTACACTGTTTAAGTCTAACATCTTTTTACTCTTCCACCTCGCTCCTTCTGTGTGGATAAACTTACGTTCTACATGTTTTCATTACAAGTATGTATAAATCATTTCAATCTCCGGTCAGCTTACTTTTTATAACATTAATTTTCATTGGATATTATTATATTGATTACAGTCCTAACGTCTTTATGTACTGAACAACACTTTCGTTAAAATGGATTGTGAAAATTTCTTCCACATTATATTGTCTTTGTAATCAATGCGTTACGATTCTTTCGTTTCTTATTATACACTGAAGAAGGCCTGATGTCAGGCAGAAACGTTTGTAAATGTAAATGTAAATAATTTTAAATAAATATACTGTAACCTTCGCACGAATAACCTACATTGTAGCTCTTTACGCTCCTACTTAATTTTATTTGATTTTGTTAATTACTAGAGCCTTGTACATCAATTATTTTATAATCTTATTATTTAATAAAATATTGAATAAATTAAATAAACTCTTATTTATAACCGCCGTGTATATTCTGTACATACATTGTATTTTACTCTATTAATATAATTCATGGATTCAATTTTATTTCTGTGTAAAAATTTCAAGAAAAAGTAATTTAATAAATCGAAAAAAGCCCCAACAATTATATATGGGTGTTTCAGACCACCCGTACTCCCCATTTAAAAACGAGGGAAATGGTTATTTTAAAAAATGTTTCAGACAAAAGTCGTTGGTGATCAAGTAATGCATTACATGGGCACATGCGATTTACCTTAAATGACGTCGTGAAAGTCATGTCCAGGTCGACTTGAATTTTTTAAATGGGAACACTTACTTTCTCTTACTTTTTATTTCATATTCTTGTAGCTGACGTCAAGGCGTTTTCAAAACACTGGTTACAAACCCTTTTTAGTTGAGACTAATTTTACAAAAAGGCTGTGACATATATATAATTCAAAAGTAACGAAAAACGGTACAGAGACTATGATCAAATTGTTGTGTGTCGATGTTACATATATTTACGAGTCATATACAGTCTGATAACAATAAACGTTTCGATCGATTATGCGATCATTTCTTCAGTAGAGGAAAATAAATTAGAATTAAACATAATATATACACCGAGATTTAATTAATACTCATACTTAAAATTAGAAGCAACAAATTCACGAATAGATCATTCACGATTCGTGAATTTGTTGCCTTTAAGTATGGATGTTAATTAAACCTCGGTAAATGTTACCAATATGTAACAACACCAGCATATATATCATCACATAATGTCTTATTTACTGAGATTTCATACCGATTTTCTTCACAAGTGACAAGTTTTTAATTAAATCGACTATACGCTAATTTTTATTACATTTTATTCTAATTTATTTTCCTATACTGAAAATGATTGTATGACCGATCGAAACGGCTATCAAATTATACTTTAATGACTTGTAAATATATGTTACATAACATATATGATACACAACTTATTTATAGCCTCCGTGCCATTTTTCATTACTTTAAAATGTAATTTGTTTAGATGCTTAAGAAAAATTTATTCTAGAGCATAATAAATACTGTCAATTATTATTACCGTTTCAGATTTAATTAATTGCGGCAAATGTATATGCAAACATGGCTATTCATGATAGTGTATTTGTCATATACCCGTAAGTATCATCGCGTTGATGCAAAATCACATCAAGTTAGTGAAGCTTGCGAAGGTTGAAATATCACATTTTCATTAGAATATGTTATGGGAGAAGATACTATCAAACGTGGGCTGTGCAATGGCTACAAATCCGGCGAAGACGATCAACAGACCTTCGATTTCATCAGCAAGTTAAAATTCGATCTGTTGGAGGCCCGCTATAGTGGCATGATGAAAGTGCGAGGCAGCAACCGCATGCAGACGGCATATCGGCTGGAGAGAGACACTGATGTCATCCTACCGACAAAGTATTCAAATTAAGATGCACAGAAACAGTGGCGTAGCATCTTTAAGTTCTCGAATAGAAACTCTACACAGCTAAATTAAAATGAATAATCCACGCACATACATACATATTTATTATAATGATTAGAATTGCCATTTCTGTAAAGTCTATTCGATTAATGAAGATGAATAATGATTCTTTAAGCTGTTTTGCCATTAAAAGCATCGATTAGCAGAATACCGAGCAATTTTCCTTTCACGTTTGCGTCTTGTTTCAGAAATATTACAGCTAATGGATTTCCAGAAGAATTCACGTTAGTGTACACATTGAGAGCTAGAAAATCGCCTAGGAACCCTTGGCATGTCATTAAGATCGTGGATGCGAAAGGTGACGCTCAATTTCTCATTACGATGAATCCCAGGAGACAAACGCTGGACCTTTCATTGATTGATTACGAGGGAAAATTGCAGACGCTTTCTTTCATGAACGATCGCGTAAGTGTCATAGGTCATGTTTTCTAATAACTTGTACATTGTTATGTACAATGGCCTCATATCTTTAGGATAAATACATGACATTTCCAAATCATATGCTTGAACAATAGAGATATTTGTCTTAGAGAAACGCCTGAATTTATAAATTTTTAACGCAGTTTATTGTCCTTATTTGCCATAAAAAATGATTAAAATGTTTTATTTGACAAAAAAGAGATATTTTTGTCGAAACATTGTTGAATTGAGAAAGCTGAAAGTTGAACGCATTTCGACATTGATGACACTTGTGGAATGCGCCGTAACTCCTATCAAGTGCGACTTTTAAAAAAAAATCGCTTGTTGAGAAGAGAGAGCCGGAACAATTTAGCCGATCGATTATTATGAGTGTTTTGTCAATTGTGGCACAAAATCATTACGTAAGCCATCGCGTGAATGCGTGCCAAACGGCACAAAATTGGGACGTAAATAGTATCGTCGTGTCTTCACGAGACGCGAGACAGAGCAGATGTAATATGCATTAAATCGCTTCTTGCAGAAATGTCAGTTAAGAGATTCTCAACGTTAGCGTGACGAGAAAACGAGACATCAATTATATGATCAATGATTCTGCAATAAGAACATCATGATGTACTTGAAATCTTTTAATCGATGAGGAGAACACTATTGCGGGCATTTATGCGTTTCAAAATAGCGTAGATTTGTACGATAAATATAAAATTCCTCACTAATAACACTCGCTGACGTACATTTTAGATGAACTGCAACATGCGACTTTGATGGAAGTCTATTTATAATTTCATATAATGAAAAGTATTTGAGAAACACGCATACAGAATACATATCGCTGATATATATCTTGTAAATGTGTATTCTGATTTTTCAAGTGTTTCCTGCATATTACATCAAACTAAATTATACGTAGAATTCTATTCTGAATTTTGTCGGAAGTTGTAGATCATCTAAAGAACTTTATAGAAGTCATTTATTCCTTTAATCGTTATTTTTCGTATGCACGGTGGTAGATCTATCAGTATGCTAATAAAGTTAAAATTTTACGCTACAAACTCGTTAAATATTTATAATGCGATCTTATTAAATATTCATAAAGTTTCTTTTTCTTGCCTTAAACTTTTTTGCCTTCTCAAATATTATATTTTAGCTTCCACAGCTCCTAAAAATTAAACCCGCCGTTACAAAGGATAAATAAAAGAAAATTTAGCTAATTACAGTTTGTGTCAAAGAATAATGAACAAAGATTTGGTTTTTGATAAAATAGTTATTCGACAAGAGTTGGCACAAAGTAAATTTTGGAGTGTACAAGGATAAGCTAGTACTTAACGTTGATTGTATACACATTGGCACGAAAGCGCTAAAACCGCGCAGATCGATTAAAGGTGATGGAGACATATCAATAGCTAAAATGAACAACAGTGAAGTCACTGTACCGGTAAGTTGCTTTAATACTTGTTAAATTTACATTTAAAGCCTAAAAAGAGGAAAGTTTTGCTATTTATTCTAGTTGTCAACTAAAAATTTGTGCTCTAAACTTCGGCATAACTTCATAAAGATTAATTTGCATGCACATAACATGCGTCTGACATTTACGAATTGCATCTCTGTTATGTCACTGCGAAGAATATGCATCATTCATATACAACATTACGAGTCGGCTATCGCAATTAAGTAGCCCTCGCTACTTAATTAACAACAGCTTCACCCACAGGCTGAAATTGTCAGTAGGACAAGCTGAATTTAATATTAGCTTTGGCTTATATCCAGAGTGCACATTCACGATATTAAAGCTTTAATAAATAGAAATATCATTATGAAAGAAAAATGTGAAAAATTAAATATTTCCTACTAATCTAACGAAGAACTACAAACTGCAAATTGAATAAAATGTTAAATATGATATCATTATTATATTGTCTGAATGTGAATTTGCTTTATTGCAAGATCGATATGCAATGGATGGTCCTAAACTGCGATCCTACGAGAGCGGAGAGGGAAACGTGCGAGGAAATACCGGTAGGTCAATATATTTTCACAAGATTTACGATTCGCAAGATCTGACCAGTGTAATTTACATGACCGTAGCAAAACCTAGTCGCTCCGTTGTCGCAAATAAAACCCGCCTGCGAAATCTGTCCGCAGGGACCACGTGGATTTAATGGCACAAACGTAAGTACCCTTTTCAAATTTATATTAACTGTTAGATTAATAAATATATGCATCGAACGGTTAAGAATAAATTAAATTTTCAGATGATGTACTAACAAAATTTGAAACACTTAACAAGTTAGCCGACAAAAATTGATCTCTATATATATTTTTATAAATACGTGTTAATAATTTAAACGAGACTAAATGTTACGTTAACCAAAAGAGTGCATGCACTTTCTTGTTTACCTAATAATTTCCGAAATCGTTGATGACACATGAAGAAAATGGTATCAGGGATCACCCGGTCCGCCTGGACTAACTGGAGCGCCGGGATTGACTGGATCACCAGGTTTACCTGGATTTCCCGGACAACGTGGATTACCTGGGGAACAAGGAAGATCAGTAAAATCTTTTTTTTTACACATACAAAATGCAAACATATTGTATGAAAGAAAAGGGATACAAAAAAATATACATTCTTAGGGGGCAACAGGTAACATCGGCGCCAGAGGTTTTCCAGGATTACCGGGTCCCATAGGATCAACTGGACCCGTAGGATCACCGGGATTACCGGGACAAAAGGGCGATCGCGGTGAAAGAGTAAGCATCTTTTACACGTTGAATGCCGAGAATACCAATCACGAGTACTTAATTTTTCATTAGTTGAGATTATATCAGCGTGGTAAATTAACATATTGGATCAGTCATTTTATTGCTAGTACTCAGCGGCTACGTGTCTTTCTATTTTACATATATAAACACTAGAATTTTTGTGATCGCTCTAAATGTTAATATTGTAAACACGAGAAGTCTCGTGATCCGCAATGTGTTTATTACGATTTCATATAATGCAGAATAATTTAAAATTTTTGAATATTATTAATGTTATGATAATGATACGTATAAAATAACAAATGCACTATTAAACGTTTAAACAATTTAATTTTTAAAATAATTTAGTTATATATATTTTAAATGTATATTATGACTTTGATATTGATATTTAAATGATATTTAAATGTATATATATATTATGACATATTACGATATTGCAGCGTAAACGACAAGATATATAAAATTCGCTCGGTATTTAACGTGTTAATTTTAATTTAAATATGACGGCAGATAATTAGAAAATATTTCCTTGACGAAAATAACAATGGAAAAATAAAACTTAATAGGGTGATATGGGATTTCCCGGTCTGAAAGGAGATCAAGGTCCTCGTGGATTTCCGGGTCCGCCGGGGAACGTAAGCAATTTTGATGGTAATTTATCGCACTTAACGGGCCCTTCTGGACCGCCTGGATATACCGGCGAAAAAGGGGCGAAAGGAGATTACGGTATTCAAGGCAAGCCGGGTGAAAAAGGTATGACATATCGTTCTTTAGCAAAGGAACGCGTACATTACCTAATTACAGTAGATTAAATTTGTTTACGCATTTATTTACGCGGCAGCACTGAATATGCGCTGAACAATATAATTCGATTTCGCGTTATAAATCGCGTCGAGACATATAACCGCGTTATTTTTGTTAGCAATTGAGTGTAAGAATGTCATGAAACAAGTGTTCTCGATTATTGCTGTCAACGTCGCCAATATCTAAATCAACTTGCCACCTAATCTGGATTGTACCAAGACGAATGTGATGCACGAATGTCTGCTCGTGTATTTAATCGCGATCTTAATTTGCAAATGCAAATATTGATTTGCACTCAAATGCTCGAATTGTTTATGTTTCACGTTTATGGCTTTTTTATTAACATTATATACTATACATTGTAAAAAATCGCGATTCCAACAGCGACTATTAAACGATTCAAGCGATGCATAATATTCCACGTATCTATGTCGACCCAGATGTGCTAATTCACAGTCATTGTAAATCAATTTATCGCAATCTGTGACAACGTCTATAAATTGTTCGCTAAGTAGCTGAAGAGTTAAAGTTAATCGATTGGAAAAGGTTTCATTAAAAATGTTCGTTAACATTTGTGTATAATTGTACATAATTAATGCGTAAAAAATTACGAAAACATCGTTTCAAAATTATGCATTTTTAAATAGAAAACTAAAATAAAAATGTATATTGTATATAATTTAAAAACGACATTTTTCTTAATATATTTATAATATACGTCAATTATCATAAAATTTAAATTAAAATAGAAATATATTTACGTATTTAGGTGAACGGGGAGAAAGAGGATATCCGGGATTGGATGGTCATAACGGCGCACCAGGACCTCCTGGTCTTCCAGGATTTCCCGGTCCGCCTGGACCCACAAGGAACCCTACATATGCGGATATCCCTCGCATTCCTGGACCACCAGGTCCTCGTGGCATAACAGGTCCTCCAGGATTGCCAGGACCTCCGGGTTTGCCAGGTGAAATGGGACCGAAGGGTGATGCCGGAGACCGAGGTCGAGATGGTTCGTAATTAATTTACTAAAGAGATTAAAAATTAATAAGTTTAATTAAATTTTTTAACATTTTATCTTAGATGCAACACAAAATATTATGTTTACAGGTATATCGGGACTAACAGATAATAGTGTAATACCAGGACCACCGGGTCCTGAAGGACTTGTTGGTCCCCCTGGCGATGATGGTCTTCCAGGCGAGAAAGGAGAAAATGGACCAATAGGTCCTCCAGGACTACCTGGAACTCTAGGAAAAGATGGACTTCCAGGATTACCGGGACCACAGGTACTTTGTATTATTTTTCATTTACTTATACTTCTATTATTATTTTCTGCAAAACAATGTGCTATTTTATGAATATTCGTCATTGCATGCGAAGGGACTTCTAGGGTCACGTGGAGAACCAGGTTCTCCAGGACCTCGAGGTTTAGATGGATTTATGGGAAAACCGGGGCTCGATGGAAAACCGGGCCAGAAGGGAAATAAAGGCCAGAGCGGCGAACAAGGTCCTGTCGGACCTCGCGGGCTACCGGGAAGTTCGGTAAAAATGACCGAAACAAATATAACATTATATTGTACAATTTAAATATTATTACTATATCTATATAATATAAATATTACTATTAATATATCGTAAAATATTATACATTCCTGTGCTAATTTATAATAATTAATATAATATTTATTTTATTATTATATATAGGGACCAGCAGGCTCGCCAGGTACGCCAGGCGTACCAGGATTGGAAGGAAGACCAGGTCCATTCGGACCTCCAGGACCGTCGGGTCCGCCAGGACCTCCGGGTCCTCCCGGTCCTTCCAGTCTTTCATCCACCGATAGTAGTTTTGTTAATATCGGCAATCCTGGTCTCGAAGGGCCCAGAGGTCCACCGGGTCCTCAAGGAATAGTAAGCATCGTATTTAAAATTAAAATAAATCTAGCCAAATTCAATGAATTAAAGACAAACCTTAAATTAAAAAAAAAAAAAAAAAAAAAAAACAAGCCGGGTGAGAGAGGAGCTCCTGGAGAACGAGGATCGGAAGGTCAATTAGGACCGCCTGGTATTCCTGGTAGAGATGGAACACCTGGATTACAAGGATCGCCTGGAAATAGAGGTCAGACCGGATTACCGGGACTCGAAGGGCCGCCGGGTCGCAGTATTAGCGAGGTGGAGATTCGTGATATTTGCGCCAGTGTACTGAGAGGTGATTTATCACTCATGGTAGAACCGTTCCTGGAAATATTACAATTTAGTTATAATTCAACCAAATTTAATTGATCGGATCGTCTATTTTTTTTTCTACTTTTATCTTTAGAGACAAAGGGTTATTTAATCTTCGGTTAACTTTAATTGAAGTTTAGAGAAATAATCCTACCTCAACCATCTCATTGAAAAATACTCGCGCTGAAATAAAAAATGTGAAATGTGATTGTGCTATTTTTACATACAAGGCTAACATATAAATTATCTCGCGATTCTTTTTCTTTTTATTGTCGCTTATATACATACAGAACGGATAACCGAAATCACAACATTGATGCAAGGCCCACCCGGTCCACCAGGCCGAGGCCGTCCAGGTCGTTCTGGATCACCCGGCCCTCAGGGTCGTCCAGGTATATCCCCACCTCGTCAGGATTGCCGATCTTTATCGCTTTTTATTTGTGCTCGGCACGATATTAATCGCATTAAAGATCAGCTACTGTCGTAGGTTTTTTTGTTAGTTTAGAGACGAATCTTGGACGTAGAGCGGAACGCTAGGACCCTAGGTCGAGATGAAACATTTGACAAGCAACATTGTTGTAATAGCCTCACGATCTAAACGCTTGAAGCACCATCATCATCATCATCGTCCTTGCGTAGATTTATATAGTACATGAGAATGGCGTGATTTATCATGACACTTAACGGTATTGACGGTTCGATCGGGACTAATGATCCCGGCGTTGCCGTTACGTCCATAAAGATAATGGTATACTGGCATGTGTCACAGAGAGGCTGAAAGAACTAACAGAGGGTCTACGAGGGCTACCCGGATTGCCAGGACCGGCTCGACACGGCCGTCCCGGTCGAGTCGGAGCGCAGGGCATTCCAGGTACCTACTGCTCGAAACAGTGTATTCCTCTGGAATGTCTGGAAAGTGACCTGTTCGGAATAATGGAAGCTTCTCTCGCACGCATGCGACGAATAGATTAATCAAGTAATTGCACTAATCGTTTCATCAAATTCTAATGCTATTAACATATTTTAAAAGCAAATTTTTAAAGCAGTACATGCTTTATACATCTTCATAAGCAAAACAAGTTTATTTATCTTCAATTTTATCATGAATTCTTATATTTAATCTGTCTTCGGTTATAAAGAGCTGTAACTGCTTTAAGAAACGCCTGTATAATAAACCAATAAAAATTTACATAAATGCATGATGCATTAATAATATAACAGTATTTTATAAATACTTTTATCGCTTTTTATATAATTGCAAAAATTTCTTAATTTTAATTAATGCTATTTTTAATCATTCAGGCGATCAAGGACCACCGGGATTTCCAGGAGAACGTGGATTCGTCGGTTTACCGGGTCCGCAAGGTCCTTCTGGACCGCAAGGATCACCTGGCGAACGTGGAGAAAAAGGAGACAGGGGTCTCGAAGGCGTCGGTATAGAAGGTCCGACTGGCCCACCAGGTTTACCAGGTTAAAAAGGATTATTAACAATAAAAAGATATTATAGAAATATTCAAGGTTGCTAAGATTCTGATCATGTTTTATAACAGGACCTCCTGGTAATGATGGTATTGGTCTACCTGGAACACAGGGAGACAGGGGAGAGCCAGGCAGACCAGGTAAAAAAATAACATTGTTTTATGAATAGCTTGCAGAATAACTAAACTATTTTTTTCATCGATATCTGTATATCATTTTATATATAAAACACGTTTTTAGCAATCTATAATTCATGAGATTTTGAAATACACATCTATTTATAATTTCATGCAATAAAAAATTCAAAGAATTATAATGTACACATATATAATGCATATCACTGATGTAAATTTTATACATGTGTGTTTCATTCATATGTGTTTGTCACAATGTACATTTTAATTTGTCAAATGTTCTCTGCATTACAGAGAGTACGTAAAAGTATAAATAGAATTCTAATGTCTTCTTTGTTATATAGGACACATAAAAGTATAAATAGAATTCTATTTTGAATTCTGTCATGAATTATAGATCGGCTAAAGTAAGATTAAAATAATAACTTAATACCATTAACTTGATAGGAATTCCTGGTATAAGAGGAGTGGCAGGACCGCAGGGACCACCTGGATTTTGTGAATTCTGCAATTATCCTAGCAGCAATTACTTGCAGTATAATCGTGGTAACACCAAAGGACCCTGATAATAATAAATATAAAAATTTCCATACAGCAAAAACATAGTGTGAAAAACACATAATAATTTGATATGCTTTCTGATCTAATTATTTACAGTTTGGCATTCAGCATCAAATTACAAATTTCTACAGGTCTTTCGCAGATCACTGCTATATATTTTTCAATTACGAGTTAATTATGACTAACCTCAAACTGTCAATGTATTATTTAATAAAACTTACTTTTGATATAGCTGCTTATCGATGCATTATTATTAGATTGATATAAAAAAGTCTCTTTCTTTCTTTTTCTCTCAAAGCTTTGTGTTAATTGCTAATTAATGTAATAATACAGATAGTCGCGCGGTCTTGAAAGATTTGAATCCGTCGCACATATCGACGCATAACATCGCGGTCCGATTCTTCGTTCTTCCGTTCACAGTGGCGACGGCGCCACCGACGGGTCGTCGGAAATATCGGGAATCAGTGGTGGCCAGTGATGGCCGCGGAATTCGCGACGTGCGTCGGGTCGAGGTTCAAGCGGCGAGCTTGTTTATCGTGACGTCGTCCCGGCGAGAATCCCGCCTCGTCCGGTCGCGTAAAATCGGAATTCGCTCGCGGAGGGAGTTGATCGCGCGTGCATCACGAACGGACCAGTATTCTGGTGAAGCGAAGCATACGTTCCGTTTGATAAAACTGCTCCCATGGCTGCGGATAGTTCTGTACAAACCTGCGGCTAATCGTGACGAATATCGTATGCGCCACGAAAGTATCTGTTTGAATAACAATTATTTTTTCCCTTCGGCTCGTTTTGTCTCGTGATACAATGATGAGGTGGGAGTGAAGAAAGTACGAGAGAGGGTTTTCGAAGAATACGAGACAACTCCACGCCCCGGTACCCCTTACGTTGGTACCCTTTTTTTCTCGCTGAAGACACGCGCGCAGAGAGCGCCCCAGGTAGCATAAGCAGGTAGACAAATAGATAAATCGACCGATAGAACAGATTAGATGTATAAGATATGTTTTTTTATCGATAGTTTTTCCATCTTTTTCACGTCTTTTTCTGTTTGCTCAATATTCTGTTTGAATATTCAATGTATATTTATATCCTTTTGAATACAAAAAATATAGAACAAATAAAAGCTGATCCGTAAAAGCATCGCAAATCCTATTCAAAACTTGAGATAATGTTAATTTTTAATGGAGTTAAACATAAATGAAAACAATTATGATAGTAAATTAGTAAAGTTGGATATAGTTAATAACCATTATATCCTAATTATCGTTCATTAAACATTGCTAAAATCGTTGCTCAACAATTCAAATAATATATTTTATACATTAACGTTTTATACATATTTTGAATATTTTATAATAGCACTTTTATATAAAGTTTATATTGACCTATGCGCTCAGACTCTTATTGCAGATTTAGCATTAAATTATGTTAAGTGATAGCTAGATATTAATAGGCATTAAATTATGTTAAGTGATAGCTAGATATTGACAGGTATTAAATTATTAATGGTGATGTAAATCATAAAGTTAGTTATTTATTAATACACTATTTGATTTTGACATTGCTTAAAAAAATTAATCATCAATTTTATCTATTTAATAAGAAAATGAGATTAATTTCATAAAAATAAAGAGCCAGATTCAGCGCTTAATGCAATAACATAGAAAACAAAAGTATTAATGATACTTTTGATGTTGATTTTAATGCGTAAACTATGCTTGTGCTTTAAAAAAAAATTTTTAAGAGTGACAGTGCAATTAATCAACGAGAAGATTCTTTTACCATATTAAATGGAACTTTAAAGAATGTTCTTTTGAACTTGCTCAATTAGAAACTTACCCTATACATATTGATCCTATACATTAATCTTCTGTGCAAATATAAATTGAAGTCCATAAATCTATTCTTTACAGTTACAATATATACACGCACAATTTGCACTTTCTGTTCCTAAAATAATAAAAAATCGAATATTAGATATATAATATTTGTAGGCAGAGCGAGGAAAGAGAAAAAAAAATAACAAAAAATACAGTTGAAAAAGACAGAACCCCTATACTGCTAAAAAAAATATAAAAATAAAGGGAATTTTTCGATTTCTAAAACAATTGAAGATGTCCTTTTACTTTTTAACTTTCACCCTTATGTGAGTAACATACATCTATTATGCTAATGAAAGTTTTAGAGACATATTACGTATAGCAAACATAAAATACATAACAGTACATCAAAATGCTTTATACCGTGATCTTGACCTTCGAAATGGTACCGGTTTTGATTCTTTTTACCATTACGCCGTTTCAGAAGTCACAACCAAATGTCCGTTACAAACGTTATAAAAAAAATTTCTCAAGGATCTGAAGTTGGCCGCGCCTTTTAGCCGCTCCATTTCGCGCGTTCCTTCAAACGTGTCCGACCGCCCGGCGTTCCCTTCCCGACCATTCCTTCGTTTCTTTGACCGATCTTACATTCCCCCCACCTGGCCCACTTATCGTATTGATTCAAACTTGGGCATCCGCGTTTACTTCCCTCATTCCATTGAACCCATCAGCCAATATTCCTTTATTACTTCCTGATAGGTCTATTTCGGCCTATTCCGCTACAATCTCGATCAATTATTAAGAACGATTGATCGATGTGATACGCGATAGTATATTCCGAAAAAGTAGAGTATCTGTTTTTATTTTTTTACTTCCTTGAAGAACATAAAAATTTTTATACAATACATAATTATGTTGAAAAAGTTAAGTAATATATTCAGAGAAAAATTAGATATTAAAAAATTGAAAGAATAGAATTATTTTAACATTAAAATTGCAGGTAATAAAATTTTTATGCCAAAAATAACAAATTATTTTAATTAAGATTATTGCAAACAAATCAATCTCCTGTTGTTTGTTATATCGCAAAATTAAATTATCTAAAATACAATTCTAAATAACATAAACGTAAAAAAAGAATATAAATTGTAGTACGAAATTGTTAGACAAAAAATAATTGCACCTGGATGATGGACGGTCAGTTTTAAATCAATTACATCTTTGGGTATCGACGTTTATTAACTGGGTCAGTTGTTTACGTAAAGCGGATTATATTGCTACAGTTGAACAACTCTGAATTAAATCTCTTTCCCAAACCTAAACTGGGTATAAAGCTTTGTGTTTTCATATAAAAAAAATCTGAAATAAAAAGATAAATGCAATTGAATGGCAATGCTTATAACAGAAAGAATACTAATATAATAAACAGAATAAATAATCATGTATGTCTGATAGTTCATTAGCAGTAATTCTATTTTCTTTTTAACGATATTCAAATATCTTCCGCAAAAAAATATATCAAATAAAATAAAAAATATACATACCTTGTATTTGAAAAATATATTTACGGTATTTTATTCTATCATAGATTCTCATGTAAGTCCGGGCAACAGTTAAAAATCTCTACTCGTTAATAATGCCGCACTAAATCGTTGCATGCTTTAGTAAGAGATAAATGCATCGCGTGTACTCTCTAATTGTCACTAATTAACTCTGTCTTAGCTCTAGCTAGTCTATCCTGAGTTGATGATAAATAGTCTTATTCTCGCGATCACAATGCAACATGACGTCTCTTACAAGCTAGCAGCTACGAATTAAGAGCAGCTTCGTTAGTTAGACGTCTGCCTACACCGTACTGAGTATTCCTTCAAATTAAAGTGGAATATATTGTTTGAAGTGATTAGACCTACAAAAGAAAAATAAACAGAATTAGATTAAATTAAATGACTTTTTTCTAATATATTGCATTACGGATACTGCTAAAAAATGCAATTAATTTTGGTCATCACTATTTTAACACGAGGCGCAAATTAATTCTCTTTTATTTGCCTCATTTAAAATCTAATATTCTGGCGCAACGCAAAATTGCTCCGAAATGTTTGTTAAAAAGCACACAAATCACGGTGTGTAGTGAGCCTGCGATTAATCATTCAGTGGCCTTCGCTTTGCGTGTATTCGTTGATCTTTTATGCCATGCATAAATTTACGACTCATCTAAAAAAAACTTGATCTCAAGCGCAGAATTATATCGTTCGGAACGGCAATAGTCGCTATGAGCGATCGCGAAGGAATGTAGAAGAAGAATCAATGGAAGGAATAATCCGTTTATTCTGTGCAGCGAACATGGCCGAGGAAGGTGCGGGTGGATCAGGAAACGGGAGCAGCGGCGAGACGAGTCGTTTGCAGCTCCTGCAGGAGATGCGGCAGCAGAACTTTGACACCATTCGATTTGCGTCGTATCGCACCGCCTGCAAGTTGAGATTTATTCAGAAAAAAGTACATCGTAAGTGTCCTCGACTTAAATAAACACTTAATTTTATCGTACTTACACAAGAATGAATGATGAAGTCCGAATCTTTGTCACCTATTATGTAGATATTCCAGGATATTTCTAAAACATGAATTTTTTCACATTTTATACAATCATACTTATACTGATACAATCATACTTATACTTTTTTGTTTTTTGTTTTATCCATACCTGTGTTAATGTATACATTATTATATGCAGTGCACAACGTCGATATATGGAATGTAATCGAGGCATTTCGGGAAAACGGTCTAAATACGTTGGAGCCGTCGAGCACATTAGGAGTATCCAGACTGGAAACGTTGCTGTCTTCCTTGTTTCACGCGCTGAACAAAAGGGTGCCAGTATCCCAGCAGTCTAAAGTCGACGCAACCACGGCGTTGCTGATGAACTGGCTATTAGCTGCTTATACTAGCGGGTATGCTAAAAATATACTGAAACGATTGATTGAGATTTTAACTTGATTATTGACATCTGGTTAAGCTGAGCAATTTTTTTTTCAGGGAGAACAACAAAATATCTGTATTTTCGGTGAAGGTAGCTCTAGCGACGTTATGTGCGGGAAAGCTTATGGATAAATTTCGATGTAAGCCACTAATAACTTAATCGATGGTTGAGCAAGCTCGTTAACAAAATTTCTCCTCGCAGATATATATTCGCAAATATCCGACAGCAACGGACACATGATACACTGGAGGTTTGCTGATTATCTGAAGGAAGTTCTAGCTTTGACCGCGGCGGTTTACGAATCCCCATCGTTTGGATATTCCGACGGCCTCGCTAACTCCATTTTCCCCGCGGTATGTGTGCAATGTATTTGCCAACTACTTAACAGGCCAACGATATAATAATACGGATAATGCGGTATGTGCAGAATTCCAAAGTCACCGTAAACGACTTCCTCGATACGCTCATGTCGGATCCTGGACCGCACTGCTTAATCTGGTTGCCGTTGTATCACAGGATGGCGGCAGTAGAAACAGGTGGCGACGCAGGATTTAAATAAGCCGATTAAAGTTAATCATTAACAGATAGTTCACGTAATCTTCTATGTTTTCAGTGGCCCATCCTATTATGTGCGATGCGTGCCACAGAGAGAATTTCACCGGATTCAGATACAGATGCCAAAAATGCCATTCGTATCAGCTATGTCAAGACTGTTTCTGGCGCGGTAAAGTTTCTGGAACTCATAATAACGATCACGAAACGAGAGAGTACAGTAGTTTTGTATGTATTATTTATTGTTCATATATTCCGAAAATTTTAAACCTTACATTATTTTTGATGGTGTGATTTTTGTTGGCAGAAATCGCCCAGCAAACAAATTGGCCATTCTTTGCGAAAGAGCTTCAGATGCGTGCCCGAAAAGGGGAAGAACAG